GTATAAATAGGCTTGTTATCTATTTCTGTGTATTGATAAAACATCTCTCTGCAAATTGTCTATTTTTTCCATGTGTCTGCCTGGTGCCATTTGTCTTCTCAGTATCTTCATTGTTGTTATTGAACAAATGTTCAGTGCTGTACACTTCTGTTCTCATACCAGTACATACAGCATTCTGTCTTGCTGAAATATAATAAGATATACTACTGGCTACATAGTAGCAATAAGTATTTAGTGAGGATGAAATGGTTATTGTCATGATACTGGAAGATAATTATAGGACAGAGTCAACAAGTGGTCATTTGTTGATGAATTAGTACACTGTAGCAGTGTTATTGTATTCAGTATCAGCATCACACATTTCTAGTCTCATGACATCACTATCTCTTATTAAAATATATTGGAGAAGATGGTTGTTGTACATCATTGGCATTGCATAAAGATAATACTAGGTTGCTTCATGGGACTGAAAAATTACCTGGATGGGCTAAATTGGGATGATTTGACTACAGGTCAGGTAGCTGGTGTTGGTTTCCAATATGACATTTTTCAGAGCATAGTTCTAGCTGCTCAGTCAACTTTTGTCCCGAGTGGGGAAATTAGATCTAACAAAAATGATCCCAAATGGATGAGCAATAGATTAAAACATCTCATTGGTCAAAAGAGAGGCATTTTTAGGTGTATCAAAAGAGGGGATGGGCAATTAAGAAATCAATATATTCAGTTAAAGAGAGAAATAAAAAAAAAGGAATAAGAAAAGCAAAAAGGGATTATGAAGCTAAGGTCACAAGGGATTCAAAGACTAACCCAAAAGGGTTCTTTCAGGTATACAGAAGTAAGATTAGAGACAAGATAGGGCCACTTAAGAGTAGCTCAGGTCAGATCACTGACAGTGATAAGGATATGTGTGAAATTTTCAATTCTTACTTCCTCTCAGTTTTTACTCAGGAAGATACTAACGAAATTCCAGAAATAATAATTTATGTAGAACAGGACGATAATAAACTATGCACGATTGCAGTAACTAGTGGCATGGTCCTCATACAAATAGAGAAATTAAAACCTAACAAATCCCCAGGCTCTAATGAATTGTTTGCAAGGATTTTAAAGGAATGTAAAGAGGAACCTAGCAAACCTTTGGCTAATCTTTTCAACATATCATTACAAACTGGCATAGTGCCTGATAAGTGGAAAATGGCAAATGTAATACCTATTTATAGGGCAGGTGACAGGTCCTTAGCTTTGAACTATAGACCAATAAGCCTTACCTCCATAGTGGGAAAATTTATGGAATCAATTCGTAGCCATCTTGATGGGCATAAACTGATAAATAAATCTCAACACGGTTTTACTAAGGGACGTTCCTGTCTTACAAATTTACTAACTTTTTTCACTAAGGTGTTTGAGGAGGTAGATCATGGTAATGAATATGATATTGTGTATATAGGCTTCAGTAAGGCTTTCGAGAGTTCCACATCAAAGGCTTTTGAGGAAACTTAAGGCACACGGAATAGGAGGAGAAATTTTTTCATGGGTAGAGGCAAGGTTGACAAATAGGCAGCAAAGAGTTTGCATAAATGGGGAGAAATCAGAATGGGGGCACGTCACGAACGGTGTTCCGCAGGGGTCAGGGTTGGGCCCCTTGTTGTTCACAATCTACATGAACGACATAGATGAGGGAATAAATAGTTACATAAGCAAATTTGCTGATGATACCAAAATAGGCCATCCAGTTCATTCTATTGAGGACATTAATGCACTCCAGGATGATTTGAATAAACTGATGCAGTGGTCAGAGAAGTGGCAGATGCAGTTTAATATAGACAAATGCAGAGTTGTAAATGTTGGACAGGACAATAACCATGCCACTTATAAACTGAATAGTGTAGATCTTAATACTACTGATTGCAAAAAGGATTTAGGAGTTCTGGTTAGCAGTAATCTGAAACCTAGACAACAGTGCATAAGTGTTCGCAATAAAGCTAACAGAATCCTTGGCTTCATATCAAGAAGTATAAATAGTAGAAGTCCTCAGGTTGTTCTTCAACTCTATACATATATCCTTGGTTAGGCCTCATTTAGATTATGCTGCACAGTTCTGGTCACCATATTACAGAATGAATATAAATGCACTGGAAAACATAGAGGAGGATGACAAAGCTGATCCCATGTATCAGAAATCTTCCCTATGAGGATAGACTGAGGGCCCTGAATCTACACTCTCTTGAAAGGCGTAGAATTAGGGAGGATATAATTGAGGTGTATAAATGGAAAACAGGAATAAATAGAGGATGTAAATAGCGTGCTGAAAATATGCAGCCAAGACAGGACTCGCAGCAATGGTTTCAAGTTGGAAAAGTTCAGATTCAGGAAGGACATAGGAAAGCACTGGTTTGGTAATAGAGTTGTGGCTGAGTGGAACAAACTCCCAAGTACTGTCATAGAAGCAAAGACCTTGTGTAGTTTTAAAAATAGGTTGGATAAATACATGAGTGGGTGTGAGTTGGACCTGACTAGCTTGTGCTACCAGGTCTGGTGCCATGCTCCTTCCTTAAGTGGAAGTGACCTGACTAGGTGGTCATTGTTCTAAGCTGGGGGTGGCATGGGTCAGTAGGCCTGTTGCAGTGTTCCTTCTTTCTTACGTTCCTTGGAGTTTAAGAGTTAGATTAGGTAAAGTACCTGTTGTGGGTTATCAGACTGCTCACCACCACTCATAGTTAACTGAACTCTTATTGCATGTCCTCATACAGCCACTACACACAGCATGCTGATCTAAATGCAATAAACTATAGTGAGAATTACATGCATGGATGGGTGTCTGGCAAATATTAATCAACTTTTGTACTATATTTGTAGGTAAATTTAGGATTGAATTTTTTCCTTAAGTTTCCCCAAGGAGTTTTAAAACCCTGTTTAGCCCTGTTTCATAGTGGTCTGAATTCTTGGAACCAACCCTGAATGTTAAGGATACTTGTTCAGTAATAACCAAATTTCCTAGGCAGCTAAATTCCTCTAGTTTGTAAAATATAGATTTAAAATTATTATCTGACTTGGTGGCTAGGCAAGGTGTGATTTGGTAAATGTTGCAAGTGCATATACAATACACACATTTCATTATATTAGGCATGAGCAGGTGAAATCTCAGAAGAGGTGTGGTTGGGTCACATTATCAGAATGTGAAGGAAGGAGGGTAGTAGTATTACATTTTATTATGTTTTTGGCAGTTGTATACAGTTCTTAGTACAAGTGCAATGCCCAGGCTCCAAGCAGTGCTGACATAGTGAGATCAGGGTTCTTTAGTTAATGCCTTACTATACCATACTGTAATTCTAATAATGCTCCTACAAGTACCTTAGGAGATAGTAAAGTAACAGAATGTATATTGATCAGAAAATAACAATCATTAAGCCCAAGAGAAGAGGGACAGCCTTAATAAAACTCGTCAGATTATGTCTGATATTATTTTGTAACAAGCATTCTTTCAGTTGGAGGGCAAAGTACTGACAAGATGGATTATACAGTTACACTTAGAAAAGAGCAAGCCTTTATTAAGGCAGTGTTTTTTCTCAAGGAAACCTTATCAACACTTCATTGATTCTTAATATTTGTATGGGTATGTAATTCTTATGTACATGTGTAAACACAGATGTGTAGTGTCTGTGCTTGCTTTTCAATAAAGTATATTTGCAAACTCTATGAAAAATACCAAAAGATTACAGCCATGTAAAGTCGGGTGCAAATAAGACCATACTAAGTTTTAACATGTCTTTCTGGTCAACAGGACAACCTAGTGATGGACCAATGGGCATTAGTGTTGCTCTTACTCCATCTACTACTACTACACCGCTTTCAAAAACGTTCATCACAAATGCCTCTTTCAGAACTAAAAAATTGCCAGGTAGGTGATAATTAGTTTTGTATAATTCCTTGTCATAACACTTTATTTTGTAGATTGCACAAAAACCATATTATCTTCAGTTACAGTATGTATGATACTGTATACGAATACATTAAATGAATATGGAATATGGTTTGTTTAATTTTATTAATATTCATAAAACAATTTTTTTTTGACAAGGCTGTAGTACAATACTAAAGTAATAATGTTTTAATTCTTCAGCAAACTTGAATAAAAAAAATCCTTCAGAAGTCTAGATTATACAGCAGTAATAAACAATATTCCAGAAATCAAAGGGTGAGGCTGTATTCATAGGGTCACCCAACCAGTTTATGGTGCTTAACCTGACTGAGAATTGCTTACATAAGGCACAGAAAGGATAGTGCCTGACATGTTCTTGTAGAGTGAGTTGAAAATCTGAAAGAAAGTAGCCATGAGGCTAGATGAATGAACTAATTAATACTAATGTTAAGGGAAATGATAGCTGTAAATCTATTTGTTAAATTAGCATTGAGGTGGCAGAGTGGAAGATTAGGGAGGTAGGGTTATAAAGGATATAATTTGTTTGAGATTAATCATTTAAAATGAGTGTAAAGTACAGTATACTTATTTAATGAAAGTGTCATTTAAAAAAAATGAGTATTTCAGAGATATAAGCAAGGAGGCTACATAGTGTAATATGTGATTTAAACCCTTTTACATTCCTAAATGGTGAATGTGTTTTCTTCTTTTGGGTTATCTTGTCTTGGTAGAAGATGGCTTTTGAGGCAAAACAAAAATATTTCTAGAACTTATAGCTAATGCTTTGAATTGTTTAAATAGGAGAGGGTCTTTTCTTTGGAATATATATATAGATTTTTTTTAACACTGGCCATCTTTCAGAGGTAGGGTGACCTGAAATAGAAGAAACACTTTCACACATTCACTTAATCACTGTCCCCTCAGCATCTTGCTGACATCGAAGCTCGGGTGATCCTCATCTAACATTTACATCCCCACCCCTGCTTCCCACTTTCCACTTCCAGGGCTGAAATCCGGCTAACCAGTTTCCCTAAATCCCTTCATAAGTGTTACTTTGCAGCATGTCAAATCATAAAAACCACTTGCCTCAGATAAATTTAATTACCTAAGTGAATTTTTGAATAATTAGCCAATGCAGTGATCATAGTACTCTAAAAAATTGTAGGTAATAATGATGAAACTTATGCACAAAATAATAATAATAATAATAGTGATGAGACTCAGGGAAACCATTTAGCCAAACTTGAGTCCTGCTGGTGGGGAGCACAGTGCCTTCATTGAAGAATGGGGATGTTGCAGTTTGTAGGATCATTTGAATGTTGATAGCTGTGCATTTCTGGCAAGGCTACTATTTAATTGAGTGATGGTGAATGCATTTTTTCTTCTTTAGGTCATCCTACCTTAGTGTGAAGTGGCTGATGTGATAAAATGAGATAGTTTTTAAATGTTAATAATGGTGGATAGACATATTGAAAAGAAGAAAAGTAGGGTTGGATGGATAGTACATACACAAGTAGTTAAAGGAGGGTTGTTGTATTTTGCCACAAATTCATCTACCATGCCATCTTGTGGTCTGCTATTTATTTTCCAATGTTAATAAATAATTTTATTTTCTTGTGCTTAATTTAAGGCTTATTTCCATCAAGGGGAAATGCCTTGTTGCTGCTGAAGGACTCAATCCAAGGAATGGGAGTTATCCTTCCCCTTAATACAAGCAGATTACCTCTCATTCCCTAGGTGCTACATGACCCTCAGGACTGAGACCCTACTGGTTTCTCAAGTTTTGACCTGTTATACCAATTTTGACTATTTTTGAAACCAAGCTGATGTTGGAAGACTTTTTCCTCTGTCTTAAACTAGCATCAATACATACTGTACATTTAAATACAGTGATTGTAGATCAAAATATATAAGAGTAAACTAATATTAAATTGTGTAAGTAGTAAAATAAAATAACGTGTGCCAGGGTAGGCAAAGAAAGATAAACCAGATAAAATTGGTTGAGGTGCTGGCTTCTAAAATTTTTTATCAGTTTTTAAATTACCGTTTGTCAATGGCAGCTTTAATGGTGTTTAGTGTAGGTCTGTAATATGCAGTATTGGAAGGCATAAGTGACATTTTGATATGATTAAGGTAAAAGGGGAGTTTTGAAGAAAAATTTACAAAACGAGCTTTTTTGGATGACCGCATTTTGCTTTGTTAGAGCTTTATCAAATATAATTTCAAGGAGCTCTAGCTAGGATCATAATTTTATCCCAATAAAAGTTTGCTCTGCAAAGTGTGTTTTCTTCATTATTGTCAGCAGTATGCCATTTGGATTCAGAAGGTAATGAATATTTGGAGCAAAGTGTAAAATCTTGAAAACGTACAAAGTAATATTATGAGAGACTTGCAGATTGATCATTCATAGATGTGGAGTATAAGAAGGCTATGATATTCAAGTAGGTGCATTATTCCATGACTAGTTCATATCATTTGTTCCTCATCAATTTTCCTGAAGAGATAATACAAAACATGCATAGTGCTATTTCCTTCCTTGCATTAATTCCTGCCATCTGACACTCATTCTTCACATTTCTAGAGGAAAATTGGTGTGGTGGAGTGACCAGGGAAAACCCTCTCGTTCAAATGTGCTCAAGCATCTAAGACATGATCCTTCAAAAGGGTGTTCTTCACTGGGTGCCTTGCCTTCCCTCCCCACATATACAGAAGTAGTCTATGTCCCATCTATTCCACCCTTCTCAGCTTAGAACCTTACTAGGAACAGTCCATTGTCAGCATAAGCTCCTTCAGTGGCATGCATAATCTGGAAGGTAGGCAAGGATTTGGAAAGTGACCTTGCATGTTTTTTAATTTTTGTCTCATTTCACTGCAGTATGAGACATAGATCACTGGTGGTCTACTATTTCTATTGAAAATATAATTTTATTTGTAATTGTGCTGCATATATTGTGCTAATGACAAGTAGCCTCTTTAGTTTTGCTGTCTCTGGAAGAGAGAGAGAATATTTAAATAGGACATTACTTACATAGATATTCTTTTTCTATACCTTTAGTCAATAATTAAAAAAAGACATTTCTTGCATAGATTTTTTTCTATTCCTTTATTTATTTTTAAATTGGTGTAATAATTATAGAACCGTCACCAAGCCATTTTTATCTGCATATTTTAAGTGCTACTTGATTCAGATATAATACCTGTACTTCAGGTATTTACCAAGGGACTCTACAAGTTTGGCATTCACACTTGTGAATGTTTGTTATTGATCAAGGTTGCTGTAGCAAGTCAATAGAAAGAGAAAGTAGAAGGTAAAAGTAAGTTACAAACCATGATACACAACTGGGAAAACAGAAGCCTTTAAAAGTGTAGTTTACAGTTTTAGAATGTGTAATACATTCTTAAAGTATAGTTAATTTGAGCTGCAGAATAAATATTGTCAAAGGAAATGACCATCAAGAATAATTCACACAACTAACCCACACATTGGAAAGGAAACCATAGACAATGATTTGGTCTGCCTTATACCATTATTAAGTTGTGACTAAACAATGGTCCTGGGCATCTACAGTTTCCTCTCAAGAGTGTGGGTTACTTGTGAGTCTGACTTGTCAGAAAGATACAGAGCATTCCCAGTGTAATACCATTTGTGACAGAGACAAGCTCGTCCACTTCACAGATACAAATTTTCAGCTTTTAAGAATGAGAAACTAAAGTGTGCTGATATATGAGTATTAATAAAGTGAGCTTTACTTTTATTTTGCTTGTTAATTGTTAGTAATTGCCAAACAATATTTGGTTTCAAAGATATTTTTGTTCATTTTGCCTACTAAACCATAGTGGAATCACAGTAATTAATGCTACCAGCATCATGTATGAAGGCTAACATTTTTAAACAGGCAATAAAAAAAAATTACCAGTAAAGGTTTTGGTAACAGAAGTTTTAAATGCTAAACAGTAGTGCTGTTATTACCATATTGGCCAACTTCCACCAAAGCAGGATGACCCAAAGTAGTAGTGAGAGTTTCATCACTAACAGAAGTATTAGAAGTGCTAATTCCATTTGCATGTAAGGTACTACATATATGTACTAAGTAATTCTGTTGCCAGAATTTTTTAATAAGGACTATTCTAGCATTCATCTTTATAAGAATGCTTCTTTTCATGACTTTACTGTTTACTTACTCGTATGGTTTTCCTCCCATGTTTTTCTTGCAGTATTTGTATTGATATGTGTTGAGCAGACAAATGTGCCATTACAAGTAGGATATCCACAAAGTTTTATGTAGATAAGTGTGAAAAATGTCAAAATGTTTTGGTAGCCCTGGTCATCTCCAACACCACCACAGTGTGATTAAAAAGTACAGTAGTAGGTTAAAGGGTCCAGATAAACCATATCAAAGGTCTAGATAAACCATATCAAGGCTTTTTATGTGACACAAGCTTTAAAAACAACACTAGTTATAAAAACATTAAATCTGAATTTAATTATTAATATATGTTGCACGTTTATTGCATGCGGCATGGTAGATGATCTGTTAGAGTATTCTGATGATGAGGAGGATCCATTTGCCTTGGAGCGGTATGTGGATATTAGCCGTGATGCAACGTTAACGCAAACACAGCTGGCAACTCAAGGCCACGTCCAATCCTCTGGTCCTTCCACACCACCAGTTGGTCCCTCCTTCTCTCGTCTCCCTCCCCAGATGGGAATTAATGCACTTAAAATGATACCTGAATCAAAGTTTTTAAAAAATTCCGACTCTCGAAGGACAGATGACTCATGTACTAGGTTGTCTAGTACTAAGCAGGAGGGTGGCTCCCAGTCACCCAAAGCTCATCTTCTAGACTTACACATTTATCGTAAACATAAACGAACACCTTCTGGTGGTCCAGGAGCAAATGATCATCATTCTACTAAATCTGGAGGGTCCCCTGGTCTGTCACCTAGACAGAATAAAGAAGGATCACAATCTCCGAAGGGAATCCGACTTGATTTGCATTTGGCTCGCAAACATAAGAGAGCTCCATCAAGTAGTCCTGCAACTTTTGATGCACAGCATTCTAAACCAGGAGACTCTCCAAATCTCTCTTCCAGGTCATTTAATGTTAAACAAGAAGGTGAAAATCAGTCCCCTAAAGGAAATTTCCTCGATTTGCATTTAAATCGCAAACACAAGCGAACACCTTCAGGAGGGCAAGGAGGTACTGAATTTTCTTCAAAGCCAGGAGATTCTCCATCCCTTTCTGCTGAACTTCCTGTGAGAGACCATTCACCTAGTTCAGAGCGAAAACTTATTTGTTTCCTTAAATCCCACAACCCATTTATTACCCTACAGAATTTGTCGCCAGGCGCAAGCCATCGATCTCGTCTTCATCAGAGTACAGCAGTAGACGAAGAAGGTTCACTGAATGGTTCTGGTACATCATCTCCTCCTACTTACATAGATCTCAAATACTTGGGTCTATCAAGGCACTCCTCGGATAATGGACAAAAGTTCAGTCCAAAGCACCATCAATCTGCTCCCTCAACTCCTAGTAAAGTTCTTCATCGTCATTCAGCTGATAAAAGGCCAAGGAGCATTGTTGTTGATGGCCATATGGTTGAGGAAACTTTCTGGAATATTTGAAGCCCTTAAGTAATTGTTAATGATGAATAAAAGTCATAAGACTGTTTGTTGATGGAACATCTCACACCTAAGCCATATATTGGATGTTAATCACAACTAAAATTTTATACAATTATTGAGGAGTCAGAAATTTCTCTAACATTAGTATAGCTTAATTTTGCACTGTGAGGAAATATTGTACTGGATATATGATAATAAAAAATGGCACTGGAAACTATTTTTACTTCATTCTTAAACATGGAATTGCATAAATTGTTAATCCCACTTACTATTCTAAAATATTACTGATAAGGGAACAGAAATTCAATTGGCAGCAAGATCATTACATTGGTATAAAGAAGCAATTATACAGAGAAAGAAGAGAGGGGCTGAACTGAGGGTGTGGCTTGGGTGTGACACAATAGTAAGTGATGTGTTGTTCACAAGCTTTGTAGACTGGTGATTCGTTAATGTAATTTGGTTAAAAATTTCATTTAGCATGTTTTTTTTTTTTTTTTTTTTTACATTTTAAAGTTGGAATATTTGTTGTGTAGTGCATTAATAATTTGTTTAGTATTATTTATATTTTTGTATTATTACTTGACTATAATTAATTTCATTTTTGTAATATTGATACTTATTATTGGCACAAAATAAATATAAATGAGATGCATTGTCTGTTATCTCAGATTAAGAAATATATTTTTGGTATATGACTATATTTTATGAAGTTACAAAAGGTATATTAACTGTTGCATCCTTGATACTAACCATCCATTGTATGAGGTATTGTGTTAGCTGTGTATTTTATCCAAAGTAGCACCTCTAGTAGCAGTTTTCATGTACTGTATTTGTTGTATGGAATCGTTTATCAAAAGTTGTCGACAGGAACACTACACTGCTCTCACTGTTGAGTTGTTGCACATTTATTTTTAATTTGATAAGATTATTATTATATGAGAGAGAGAGAGAGTTGGGGCTACTTGATATTTTTATAAGTTATCTTATTTTATTAAAAGTGAAGAGCTCTTGATTTAAGGAATTGGAGCTATTCTCCTTCCCTTGGACCAGACCTAATTATTTCTCATTCTCCAGGCACTCTGTGACCCCTATGGATTTAGTGCTTCCCCATGATAACAATATGTACTGTAATTAGTTAACTAAGATGGAAAAGCATGATAATAATAATAATGTACATAAGTACTATATCATTTTGCCCCAACCTCTTGTTATTACTGTAATTGTGTGCTCTTATTTGTTTTATGTTTATTTCAGAATTATTTCTCTTAATGAGACTTTTATCCTTATAATTTTTTCCACACTTGCACTTTATACTCTTGCCACATGTAGATTTATTTGCTTGTCTTATTACAATAACTACTGTTGTGTTTTTCTTTCAGATGATATTCCTATCCAGAACACAGAAGAGGGGAAAACACTCTCATCGATCACTGAAGAAGGTGATGCTGACGAAAGGACTGCAGGCAAACCCATTCGAACTCCTCAAGGCTCAGGTAGAGAAAAGGAAAGCAAAGATAAGGAAGGTAGAGAAAGAGATAAGGAGAAAGAAAAAGAAGGAAAGGAGAAAACTAAATTTGTACCTGCAAACATTCCAATTCCTAATTTAGGTAAGAGAAGAGATAAGGAGAAAGCTAGAAATGGAGATAAGAGAGATAGTGAAAAGAAGAATGAGAAGAAGGAAAAACACAAGCATGACAAAGAGAAAGATAAGGATAAAGAGAACCGCAATGGAACTAGTAGTAATCGCAACAGTGCCGTCATGAACAGTGACTCCGATGGAGGAGGCAATGATGTTACAATCATCACTAACCAACAGCAACAGTCACAACAACAGTTTGAGATGAAAATTATCCTCAAGTCCCCAAGGCACTTTGAAACCAGCAACACCTCTATGGAGGATCCTACTCCCTCAGGTAGTGATGGTGATGAAGGTAAGGTTGATGTTGAAGTTGTTGATCATGTTGGTCTGCAGACTAAATCCCCACTGGAAGCAAACGGGGCACAGAATCATATTGCCAAAGTTGTCTGAAGTGTCGGATTGGTGAGGACCCGGCTGTAATTAAAAATTTGCTTTATAAAATATTACAATATATGATTACCAGATGTGTGATGTATAGATTGAAAAAAAAATCAGATGTATGATAATTTAATTTTTTTTTATTTATAACAAGATACAGTGTGTAATTACTTAATTACTGGACTAAAGCATTTACCACTCTGATTATAATGTTTCGATGGATTGCTTTGTAATAGCTGATTCTGATGAACAGAATGCCAGTTATTTTTGTGTGAAGTTTCCAATTACAGGCTAGAGAATGTATTTTTTTGTATTTCTTGGCATTAATTTCTTTTATCCTGTGGATATAACTAGTTAATAAGTATTTCAAGCTTTTTAATAGTTTTATACTATACTATTTTTCCCTGTTAAACTAGATTTTTCTACATTGAACAATATTGGTTTTATTGAATATGTACAGTACTAGGAATATGTGCTAATTTTCTTAACTTTTTTTTTGCAAAGTATATCAGTTCTTGAGCCACTACATATTTCAAACATAACTATGGTACCTTCTTTTACAATTTGAAATAAAGGTTTGTATGTATACATACGTATAGTCTTAAGTATACATTTCATATGCTGTCCATACATAAATTGCATACATACTCTATAGATGCTTGACTTTCCAAATTCATGGGGGTGTGGTCTGCCGATATTTTTGCCTATTGATAGCTCTGGGGTTGTGCATATTTTGATACCAAAATGACCTGAAAAGCATCTAAGTATATTCTTTTTCTTTTCACTTTGACAGAGCTCATAACCTCAAATAGCAAAAGCTTTGGATGGAATGATTTTTATATACTTCAGTATTGCACTTGATTAAATGATGTGTTTGCATTTTTTTATTATTAACCCTTAAACTGTCCAAACATAGATCTACGTTTTTTCAACATTTGAAAGTATGTAAAAAAAGTAGATTTTTTTTTTTTTTTTTTTTTTTTACATTTCAAAACATTTAAAAAAACTTTGATCTATCCTTTTTTTTTTTTTTTTTTTTTTTATATTTGAAAGATGTAAAAGAAATGTAGATCTACTTTTGGAGTACTACGCATGTGAACGTAGATCTGCTTGGACAGTTTAAGGATTAAAATATCATGTTCAGTACTGTATGTAGATTAAAAATAAATTGATAAAAGTAGTTAAAAGATCTATTCACAGGTAAATACAACTAAAAGCTGCCTTTTATGTACTGCAAACTTTACGCTTTGAGGGTCCAAGCCGTAGTTCTATGCCTTGTCCACGGGGTCCAAGCCGTAGTTCTACGTCATGAGCTCGGCTCACTCAGATAAGCTGTTAGCGGTAAATTTGGGCCTAGATATGTAAGAGAAGTGAATGCGAGGGTCTTGGCAAGAGGTGTGGAGTTAAAAGATAAAGAATCAAACACAAAGTGGGAGTTGTCACAGTTGCTTTTTGCTGATGACACTGTGACTGGGAGATTTTGAAGAGAAGTTGCAGAGGTTGGTGGATGAGTTTGGTAGGATATGTAAAAAGAAAATTAAAAGTGAATATAGGAAAGAGTAAGGTTATGAGGATAACAAAAAGATTAGGTGATGAAAGATTGGATATCAGATTGGAGGGAGAGAGTATGGAGGAGGTGAATGTATTCAGATATTTGGGAGTGGACGTGTCAGCAGATAGGTCTGAAAGATGAGGTGAATCATAGAGTTGATGAGGGGAAAAGGGTGAGCGGTGTACTTAGGAGCCTTTGGAGACAAAGGACTTTGTCCTTGGAAGCAAAGAGGGTAATGTACGAGAGTACAGTTTCACCAACACTCTTATTATGTGGGTGTGAAGCATGGATGATGAATGTTGCAGTGAGGAGAAGGCTGGAGGCAGTGGAGATATCATGTCTGAGTGCAATGTGTGGTGTGAATATAATGTAGAGAATTCGTCGTTTGGAAGTTAGGAGGTGTGGGATTGCCAAAACTGTTGTCTAGAGATCTGAGGAAGGGTTCTTGAGGTGGTTTGGACATGTAGAGAGAATGGAACGAAACAGAATGACTTCGAGAGTGTATAAATCTGTAGTGGAGGGAATGCGGGGTAGGGGTCGGCCTCTAGAAAGGTTGGAGGGAGGGGGTAGAGGAGGTTTTGTGTACGAGGGGCTTGGACTTCCAGCAAGCATGCGTGAGCATATTGGATAGGAGTGAATGGAGACAATGGTTTTTAATACTTGACATGCTGTTGGAGCGTGAGCAAAGTAACATTCATGAAGGGATTCAGGGAAACCGGCAGGCCGGACTTGAGTCCTGGAGATGGGAAGTACAGTGTCTGTACTCTGAAGGAGGGGTGCTAATGTTGCAGTTTTATAACCTGTATTGTAAAACACCCCTCTGGCAAGACAGTAATGGAGTGAATGATGAAAGTTTTTGTTTTTTGGGCCACCCTGCCTTGGTAGGAATCGGCTGATGTGTTAATAAAATAAAATAATAATTATGAGAGAATGGATCTATGTGGTAAGTGTGCACCATAAAACAAATCTGCAGCACACAGTGCATAATGAGAAAAAAAAAATACGACTACATTTTTGGATTAAAACACTGACTTTGTGTATTTTCATATGGTTTTTACAGTTGTATTCACAGTTTCTTGGTCTCAGTTGATAGAATGGAAGATTTTTTTTTTTTTTTTCAACAAGTCGGGCCGTCTCCCACTGAGGCAGGGTGACCCAAAAAAGAAAGAAAATCCCCAAAAAGAAAATGCTTTCATCATCATTCAACACTTTCACCACACTCACACATTATCACTATTTTTGCAGAGGTGCTCAGAATACAACAGTTTAGAAGCATATACGTATAAAGATACACAACATATCCCTCCAAACTGCCAATATCCCAAACCCCTCCTTTAAAGTGCAGGCATTGTACTTCCCATTTCCAGGGCTCAAGCCCCGACTATAATGAAAAAAAACCGGTTTCCCTGAATCCCTTCACTAATATTACCCTGCTCCACACTCCAACAGATCGTCAGGCCCCAAGTATCATTCGTCCCCATTCACTCCTATCAACACCTCACCCACGCTTGCTGGAAGTCCAAGCCCCTTGCCCACAAAACCTCCTTTACCCCCTCTCTCCAAACCCCTTTCGAGGAGACCCCTACCCCTCCTTCCTTCCCCTATAGATTTATATGCTTTCCATGTCATTCTACTTTGATCCATTCTCTCTAAATGACCAAACCACCTCAACAAACCCTCTTCTGCCCTCTGACTAATACTTTTATTAACTCCACACCTTCTCCTAATTTCCACACTCCGAATTTTCTGCATAATATTTACACCACACATTGGCCTTAGGCAGGACATCTCCACTGCCTCCAACCGTCTCCTCGCTGCTGCATTTACCACCCAAGCTTCACATCCATATAAGAAGATATATTACAGAAATAGAGATGATTTTGATTGGTTTTAGTACTGAAAATAGCTTGAAATTTAGCTCCAAGTAGTGGAAATGTTCGATTTTTGCTGATGTTCAAGAGTAAACAAATGACGTTACACATCCAATACACGTCAACTGATGGGTCTAATATAGGTTCATGAATGCGCTGATATTACTTATACATTTATTACAATTTTGCATAACAATAAATATTTTTTGGTGTGAATAAAAATTCTTATTGAATAAAAAATCAAAATGGAATTCATGCTTAACCCTTTGAGGGTCGACAGGCCCTCTCCGAAACTCGTTCTCAGGGTCAGCCAAATTTAAAAAAAAAAAAAATTATTTTCTCTTATGAAAAAATAGAGAATCTTTTCCCGATCATAAAGACACCAAAAGTTTAAAATTTTTATAGAAAATTAGGGAAATTTAATCTCTCGAAAAGTTAGCGGTTCGGCATTTTTACGCATGGGCGTTTTTTGCCCACTTTGAGGCCCTTTTTTCGGGGAAATTTCACTGTACTAGTCAAAAAAAACAAAAATATTTCGCTAGAACTCCATTTTTTTCTATCAAATGGGTGAAAAGAAACCCCCATTTATGAACTCAACTATCCAGACAGGGGTCAGAATTTAGCAATTTTCCCAAATTTTCACAAAAATTTTTCAAAAGATCCCAATTTTCCGAATGGGGTCCAGAATAAACAAAAAGACATTCCGGCACTAAAATGACATTTCCCTGTCAAAAGCACGTTAAAGGGCCCTCTTTATTCTTTTGTTTTTCCACTTTGAATTTTTTTCCACAAAAAATATAAGATTTACTGTTATGCAGACTAGTTAGTGTAAAAAATGGTAAAAATTTTATTGGTGAAACTTGTGAAAGAATATTGACTCACCATTCGTGTATTCCCGTTTGGCACGATTTGTTTAACTTTTGAAGTTTGGTAAAAATCGAACATTTCTCTAATTTAGCTCAATTTAAAGGCACCTTTCATTGAAAAAACCAGTCAAAATCATCTAAATTTCTGTAATATGTTTCCTTTATAAAATGAGACCAAGAAAACAGAATACAACAAAAAATACCATAGGAAAATACATGAAAAAGCCCCTGATTTATTCAAAAAAAGGTCAAAGTTTTTTTTTTTCTCATTATTCACTGGTGCTGCAGGGTTTTTTTTTGGCTGTCACATGACCCCTAGACCCCCTTCTTTCATATGAAGGCCTACCACTTTCTCCACTAATTTGAGGCCGCTAGAAAATTTATGGTACTAGTAGTCAAAAACCCCCCGCGTAAGACGTACGTACGACCAAAACCTAAAAGGTTAAAGCCTAAAGTAAATACTAAAAGAAAAATGTTGTTTTTGTGCCAGGAATTCCTACATTGTTTATTCTGGACCCTTTTGTTGAAATTGGAATATTTTAACTTTGTGTGAATAGGACAAATTACCAATTTCTGATCACTATTGGGTAGTTGAAATAGTTATTCTGGTAGTTTCTTGTGCACAATCGATAAAATGGAATTTTTTTTTTTTTTCAACAAGTCGGCCGTCTCCCCCCGAGGCGGGTGACCCAAAAAAAGAAAAAAATCCCCAAAAAGAAAATACTTTCACACACTCAACACTTTCCCCTTTACTCAACCATAATCTTTGTTTTTGCAGAGGTCCAGAATACAACAGTTAAGAAAGTACAGTGGACCCCAGTTTACGATATTCTTTCTTCCGAAGTATTTTCAGGTTGCCAGACTGACAAATTTGTTCCCATAAGGAATATTGTAAATTTAATTAGTCCATTTCAGACCCCAAACATACACGTACAACCCCACTTATATAAATAAACCCACTTACATAATGGTCGCATTGGGAGGTGTTTCGTAAAGCGGGGGTCCCACTGTTTACATATATAAAAATTCCCAATATATCCTCCAAACTGCAATATCCAAAAACCCCTCCTTTAGAGTGCAGGCATTGTACTTCCCATTTCAGACTCAAGTCCGGTTAATAATAACTGGTTTTTCCCTGAATCCTTCACTAAGTATTACCCTGTACACTCAAACAGCTCGTCAGGCCCCAAATACCATTTGTCTCCATTCACTCCTATCTAACATGCTCACGCAGCTTGCTGGAAGTCCAAACCCCTCGCCCACAACACCTCCTTTACCCCCTCCCTCAACCTTTTGAGGACGACCCCTACCCCACCTTCCTTCTCCTACAGCTTTATACGCTCTCCATGTCATTCTACTTTGATCCATTCTCTCTAAATGACCAAGCCACCTCAACAAACCCTCTTCAGCCCTCTGACTAATACTTTTATTAACTCCACACCTTCTCCTAATTTCCACACTCCAAATTTTCTGCATAATATTTACACCACACATTGCCCTTAGACAAGACATCTCCAACTGCTTCCTCACTGCAACATTTACAACCCAAGCTTCACACCCATATAAGAGTGTTGGTACTACTAATACTTTCATACATTCCCTTCTTTGCCTCCATAGATAACATTTTTTGCCTCCACATATACCTCAA